GGCCGGGCGACGGGGCGGCCGCGGCCCCCGGCCCAGCCCGGCTGCCGGCGCCGCCCCGGCGCCTTATGCAACCGGGAGGCAGCAACCATCCCCCTGCCCCGCCGCCCTCCGTCTTTCCTTTCTCCAGCAATACCCCGGCCTCGGCCCCGCTCCCAGGTGGGCTGCGGAGAAGCTCTGCCGCCGGCCCTGCCCTGCCCTCCCTCCCGGGGGGAAAAAAAAAGTGCCCCCCAAATAGTGTCACGGCCCCCTCTGTGTTTCCAGGTGCTGCACTGGGCTCAGAGCAACGCCGACTACGTCGTCCCCCTCTACTGCTTTGATCCCCGGCACTACCTGGGCACCCACTGCTACCGCTTCCCCAAGACGGGGCCGCGGCGGCTCCGGTTCCTGCTGGAAAGCGTGAGAGATCTGAGGGAAACCCTGAAGAAAAAAGGAAGGTAGTCGAGAAAGCGGCCCACGAATAACGTGTCCGGTTTTATTTGCCGTGTGTTTTTCAACACGCGTCTACGCTCGAGGTCAATCCCGTCAGATACTCCGGGCTCTGACGGTGGCCCGTCCGTCCCAGAGAGCAACGGCCCTTGTGTCGGACGCACGCCGTCGCACGCTGGTCTCTCGCTGGCCGGGTCTTCAGGTGATCTGTGGCATCCACAGGGGAGCAGAGGGCCGCTTGCCGCTCACGGGTTTGCTTTCTTGACTCAGACGCCACAGATGGGTTTCCGCCTTGAGTTTTTTGCCCAGAGTCCTGCAAAACGGCGACATGGACTGCAGTTTTTCAAGTCCTCGGCAGCTACGCTAACCTGTGTGGCGTCCTTCCTTCCGTATCCCTAGCAGGGTTTCCCTAGGAGTTGATGTGATGCGGAGGCAGGCCAGCATGGACCCTGGCGTATGAGACTAGAGAGTTAAGTTTGTTCATCTGTCCCACTAAACGTATCCCCTTTGATAGGCTACACTGCAGGAAGGGGATCTTCAGGGATTCCCCTTTCGTTATGCCCTGGAAGACTTCAGGAGCCGCAACTGGGTAGACCAAGGCCTGAAAGTCTACATGTTAAGGAATCCCATTACCAGATAACATTTGGCTTTGCTTAGCAGAAGATGCATCAGCCAGCCTGTCTTCAGGCAGGGCAGCACAACAGTGGTAGTAGAAACAAGAGAAATGGCTCTGGATGTGCAGTGCAGTGTGGGTTGTGTAGATGGCGAGTGCTATGGGAGACTGGGTGAAGCAACTGAGCAGTGCGTATCTACACCTTCACCCTCCGGTGAACAGAATTGGAGCTGCTTTAATGCTCCAATTAATTAGTGGCATGGTTAATGATAAAGCCACTGATAAGAGATTGGTCTTCCCAGTGAGAGAGACGTGTGGTGCTGAAGAGCCACGCTAAGACCTATGCTCCACCTTCATGGCCGTGAAGTGTAATCTCATTGCAGTGATAGTAACAGCAGAAAGAAATCTCCTCCACTTCCAGTCTGTGGTGCTCCTTCTAGGCAGTTTGATCTCTGCTTTCCTATGGGAAGTAAGGGGAACAGCTGCCCACACAGCACCCCTCGGTCCTGCCCTCCTCAGACCCACCCTGTCTTTGAAGAAACCTTTCAGTCATGGTTTAAATTGTCCTGACGTTTTATTAACCTCTCCTGCAACTCCTTCAGGACAGATCTCTGTTGGATTGCACCATAGTTTGTGTGGCAGAGAAGGGGATAGAGTCTGGTGTCAGGCTCCTCACAGGACTCCATGCAACCAGCTCTGACCAGCTTTCTCACTGTGGCCTCTCTTTTAGTCTGGGCCCTTGAGTATACAGCTGGGCAGTCTCTGGGGTTGTAAAGGGCAGACAAGTTGTGACTCTGTTGCTAATCATGAAGAAAGAATCCCCCTGAATACTCCCACATGGAAGCGGAGGGGGATCTGCCCACAAGGCACCACTACCTGTTCACGGGATTGAGACAGTAATGAGCTCTTGAATCTCAGCCTCAGTATGTGAGGCTGAACAGATCTAACTTTAACTCTTAGGTAGCAGCCCAGCTTTGCTGCCCAATCACCCATTGTAAGGCTCCTGGAGGGTTTGAAATGTACTCAGTGCAAAGTGCCCCAGTGGCTTAGAAACTCTGTTCAGTGCATCCTAAAAAACGCGAGCTAGATGCAAAAAAATGAACGAATTGGACAAAGGTAAGGAATAAGTAATAGAAGCAGTCAGATCCTGTCTGTCTGCTTCCACATGCTGTCTGTGCTCTGTAGGGAACCTAGTACATGGGTGTCTGGGCCAGGGCTTCTGTACAAGGGGCTTCTGTACAAATAAATAACAATAGTATCAAACCTAATTCAGGCCAATCTTTTGTGTCTGCAGTACGCTAGTGGTGAGGAAAGGGAAGCCGGAAGATGTGGTCCATGATCTAATTTCTCAGCTGGGCTCTGTGAGTGCTGTGGCTTTCCATGAAGAGGTAAAGGAAAGTTTTGAGTGACGTTGCTTAAAGATAGAATTTGTGAGGTTTCTTCCACAACCAATTGGCGATGCTCGTTTTGTACGTTCAGAGCCTTCCTTGAGCGTGGCATTGTTAACTGTAGGGGAACTGGCCAGTTCCTGGGAGGGGGGAGTGTAGATGTCAGTTCTTGCTGGATGGCAGCAGCGTTTGTGATCCCAACGATGGAGAATTTGGGACAGAAGGGTAAGAAAACTTAATTTGACAGCTGCCCCCATGAAATTTCTACCTAAGAGATGTCTCTTACAGAGAATCAGAGGCCTCCCAAGGCAGTGGTGGCCCTTTAAACTGTAACTCAGCCTCTGTTCACTTGATTTGGCAGAAAGAGAGTACCCAGCAATTGTTTGCATGCAACCTCCTCTGAGTTGGTGAAGCTAAATGTGGAGATGAGGGAGGAGGGGAGGACCAGAGTCTGTGTGCGTGAGGGAGCTGAGGTCGTGTAGCCATGGTCTCGCTGCATGTTGTTCTTTCTAGGCTACAAAGGAGGAGTTGGATGTCGAGAAAGGGCTGTGCCAGGTGTGTAGTCAGCATGGAGTGAAGATCCAGACGTTCTGGGGATCCACTCTGTATCACCGGGATGACCTTCCCTTCAGGCCTGTTGCCAGGTGGGATGCTCCGTGATGTCCTTCACTCCTCTTCTGTTTCATTTATTGCTTACTCCACTGAACCACTCAGGACGGATCTAGCTATCCAGTTCTGCTGGGAGAGGACCCATTTGTCCATCTACATTTATGGAGCAGTGCTGTCATATACAGCAAGGGGAAGGGGCATGTTCATCCCTCTCTACCAGTAGCATTTACTCAACAATATGTGTCAAGATGAGCGACTTGACTGATCATCGATTGAGGGGCTGATTTCTCTTTCTCCTTCCCCCACCACAGTTTGGATACTCAGTCTGCAGTGCCCAGAGACCCTGTGGCATTGGACTGGATAGCTCCATCACCCCATCTGGCTAAATGCAGGTGCTTATGAGAGTAGACCTTTGCATGTGGGCTCTTCACCTTGGCTCCCGCAACAATCATTAGAGATCTAGTTGGTGGAGCTGAGTGATTCGTGTTATCCTATAGAAGTTCTATAAAATAGGGCAGAGGAATCAGGCCATAAAAATGTCTATTTCTCTCCATTGAAGCCTGAGGTTGCATACTTGTATATTGAGGTCAACCCTGTGGGCTCTAAAGTTAGATCTAAAGTTAGGTGAGCTCCATTGAAGCCTGAGGTTGCATACTTATATATTGAGGTCAACCCTGTGGGCAATCTAAAGTTAGGTGACATAAACCTTGCCCTCGTGGATTGTCCCATCAGGACACTCCATAAATCCCCCTTATTGAAAAGACACCATTTTGATCAGAAGCAGACAAAACCTGGGTGAAGGGCTGAATTTCTGATTGCTGCTATTCCCAAGGGAATCTACCTCTTTTGTGTCAGGTGATGTACAAACATGTACCACAAATTCAGGAGAGCGCAGTCTGAAATGCTCATCCTCCGTCAGCAGAAGCTAACTGGTGCTGTGTGGAGGGGCCAGGGTAGCCATCCCCAGCATTGTAATCTGTGCAGATTGCCGGATGTCTACACCCAATTTCGAAAAGCCGTGGAAACCGAGGCGAAGGTACGACCAACGCTACACATGGCAGATCAGCTAAAGCCTCTGCCTCCAGGGATGGAAGAAGGATGTATCCCTACGATGGAGGATTTGGGACAGAAGGGTAAGAAAACTTAATTTGACAGCTGCCCCCATGAAATTTCTACTTAGAGATGTCTCTTACTGAGAATCAGAGGCCTCCCAAGGCAGTGGTGGCCCATTAAACTGTAACTCAGCCTCTGTTCACTTGTTCATCAAAGCAGACGAATGACAGGCTGAAGGTAAACTCCTTTCATGGAGAAGCTGGGGTGGCAAGCCCTGTAGCTGAGTGGAAAATATCCTTTTAATCAGCATTTTTGAATGTGTTTGATGTGGCCCTTCTTGTTTCCAGGGATCACTGAGCACAATCATTTATTTCCCCCAAGCAGATAGCCCTAATGATGAACTCCCCTAGTTTTTATGCTCCCTGCCTCTGAGCTGCTTCTCGGGACTAATTTTTCTTGATAACAAGCTGATGGTTATTTTTTATGGCAGATTTCATAACTGATCCACGAACAGCCTTCCCCTGCAGTGGAGGAGAGACCCAGGCTTTAATAAGGCTACAGTATTATTTCTGGGACACGGTAACTCTTTACATTTCCTTGTCTGCATCCTTGGCTGTGCAAGTGGGTGAGGCTGCAATTTCATTTCCTACTAATATTTCCTTAGCTCCTGTATAGCACTTTACGAAGGAGAGAATTAGCATTATATCAGTTTTTCAGAGAGAGAAACTGAGTCAAAAAGAAGTCACCCAGGCCCTGGGATTGTAATCTAAGTTACTGGGAACCTAATTTAGTGGTTGACAGTCTTAAGACTTTTTTTTCCACCAGCTTTTGGGAATCGATACCATCTTTTGGCTCCTTTACCTTGATTTGCCCTTTCTACTCTCCCTCCCCAGGTCAGCAGCAGTTTAGTTCCTCCTCTTTGGAGGAGTGAGAAGTGGCCTGAAGGGCTGCAATTGTGACTGAGGTGAGGAACAACTGACCCAAGCTGCTCCCCCGGTGCCTCCATTACCATGCCTTCAGGGAGCGTATATAGTTCCTAATCCTGGCCAAGCATTAATACAGTCAGTGCTGGAAAACCTGTTCCCTTTTTGTGAGGCAAATGTTATCAGCACCTGATGATCTAGAAAGCCCGTTAGCAGTTGTAACCCGTGCAGTCAAGGGGATCAGGGAGAGATCAGGCTTCCCTTTAATGTCCTTTGCATTGGCAGTGGAATGTCCAGAAAATGGAAAATCTGCACCAGTCTGTGAGCGGGGGTGGCCCAGACATAACAGTGGTCAGGATTCCTGCAGATGAATGTTGGGTGCTGCAGGACACTGTGGTGGACCTAGCCGCCAGTCCCAACCCGGCTGCATGTGGTGCCTCTGAGTGGATTATTGATCCAGAGTGAGATCTGTGCAGGCAGGGAGCAGCATGCATGGCGCCAGTTGCATGGCGCTTGTAGAAAGCAATGTGCCACAGGCTGAAGAGGAAAGCATGGCTTCTGACACACATCCCGGAGCTAAAGGGAAAACTGGTGGCCTGATTAATTCCAGTGTGTTGGAGGCAATAGTTCGGCAGCCCTGTAATCCTTGCAGGCGGCCATGAGAGGGAGCCGGTGTCTGCCAAATTGCTCTGGCTCCGCTGAGAGCATGAGAGAAAGTGTGTTCTCCACGTTGCATGTTTGCTATTAACATCTTTTGTTCTTGTTGCTTGCACAGAACCTGGTTGCCTCTTACAAGGAGACAAGGAACGGACTCATAGGAATGGATTATTCAACCAAATTTGCACCATGGTAAAAATCTTTTGTTGTGAGACTTTAGGTTCCCTCTCTCCCCCGCTCCCAGATTAATGTTACCTCTCGGCTGGACACTCATATGGTATAGATAGGGGTCTAGGTCTCATCCCCTTGTCCTGAGCTTTTTGTTTAGGGTGGAGCAATCTCAGAGCTGCTCTTTATTGTGCTCCCAGCCAGCAGTTCCCTGGGAACGGTCTTCCAACTAGGAATTTCTAAAGTGTAGCAGTGCCACAGCCAAGCACCCCGTGCGCTGTGAGTGGGCATGTGGACAGGGCACTGCAGAGACATGCAACTTGTCTTTGACTTTGCGCTGCTTTGTGTATCAAGAGTGGTTCAGAGCAGGCAGGGAAGAAGAGCAGCTTCACAAGCAGCATGTTGACTGGGCTGCAGCAGAACTAAATCCAGTCCTGATTTGCCGAATGTTTTGGGGCAAGTCACCTTGCCTCACTGCTATTCTGTTTTTCTGTGGCAACGAAGGGTCACTTCTGATTGTTGCTATTGCAAAAGGAGCTCTCGCTTGTGTAAGTATCGTGACTTCTGATTACGGGTTTTAGTCTCCAGTGCTGGAAGGGACAGGGTTAATTCCAGGCTGAACCTGCTGCAGGAGAACTCAGTTTAGCCTAATGCTGAGAACATCTGGAGCATTTCCCTGACAGAATTGCAGTGTGAAACAATTTTTTCTGGGGCTGTTTACTGGTCAGGGCTTCTTATTTTCAAGCAGCCTGTGTTTCAATGGCTGCAGTGGATGGCTCCCCCTGGTGGCACTGTGGGGTCCCAGGACCACTGGCACTACAGGAAGTTCTTTTTCTGTGGTAGCTTCCACTCCTGCTTTTGTGAGCTGGTGATTTATTTACCCGGAGCCAACAGTCCTGATGTGTCTGCCCCAAAGTGTTCTTCTGTCAGAGAATCAAAATCAGACCTTTTCAGGTTGCAACCAGTCATTCACATCTCATACTGGCCATTTCTAAATGTTAGAGCTGGTCAACAATTAAGGAAAAGCTTTTCAGACCCTTCCTTCCTGTTTTCCAGAATTCATCAGAACGTTCAGAATGTTTCTGTGAGCTTTAGTGAGAAGTGGCTTTAAAATACATTGCTAGGAAAATCAAAGTAAACGTTGTTTCTTGGATCTCCCTTTGCAAAAGGTTAGAATGTACAAGCTCTCGCCCGTCTTGCATAGCAGTGATCTGGAACAAGTGGAAGGAGCCCAGTGGGTTGAAATGCTAGGGTTGGGTTCAGTTCCCTGCTTTTCCTAGCCTGTCTGAGATTTTCAGCAAGTCCTTGGCCTTCTGTGAGTTATGGTTGCTCAGATGAGACGCTCAGATACTGCAGCAATAGGAGCTGTAGACATGATAAACAGGTTTGTAGCAGAAGGAAGGCTGTTCAACAGCTAAAGCAGACAAGGGAGAAGTTGATGTTTGGGATCCGTTTCTGGGTTTGTCATTGATACACCAAGTCCCTGGCTGATAGGAGAAAGTCTTTTAGGCGAAAGTTGTCAAACTTCTGTAAAATGATCTGTCTTGGTAGCTTGGTGTCTACCATAATAGTCATCTAAAACAGGAAGGAAAGATTGTAATTTTTATTTTCACTTGGAGTTGCAAAAATGTCATATGACTTGACAAAAGTTGTTCGGGAAGTCAGTGGAGAACAGCAGACTGAGCTAAGGTTTTCAGACCGCAACTCTAAGCACAAAACTGCCCCTCCACTCCCTCTCTGCAGGTGTCCAGCTGTCAGTCCCTTCTTGCATTTCAGCCATCTTCCTTCTGCTTTCAGGCTGGCATTAGGCTGTATTTCACCTCGATACATATATGAGCAGATCCGGAAGTATGAAAAAGACAGAACGGCCAATCAGAGCACATATTGGTATGACCCTGCATGATATCTGTGGCTTGTTTTCTCTGAAAAGCAAACTGGCTTCTCATGCACAGGATAGAGTGATTTGTTAATTTTCTCCTTAATTAATGTTTGGTTTTCCTGTGCCTGCTGCCTTGTTCCTCTGCGTTGCGTTGCCCTTCTGTTTCAGTATGGATTTATTAATCTGCCTTTGGCATCCAGAGGCTTTAGGTACTTTATAAGTCAAGATTATTAGTGCTAGTTGTCATTATTATTGCTGGGAAATCGTAGTTCATAATTTTTAAAAATGATCTCTGTAAATCAGCACCATCCCTCTCTGAATTGTTATAAGGAGCTAGATTAGAAGGGGGAAAAATGACTTGAAAATAAAAGTTAAAAGATTTCTCATCACGATGATATGAGCAGAGTTTCACCCAATATTTAGCATCTCAATGACTGTGCAACTTGTGCAAATCGCACAGTGTCAGAAGCACCGCAGGACCTCTGGCCACAGTCCTGCAAACAGCCCTGCACTTATTCAGCTGCCTGGCCATGATCACAGCTCCATAGCAAGGGGAAGAGCAGACTTAGAAGTGGGCTTAATGCATCCAGCCTTCCCGTGCACTTCCTTACCCCACTGCTGGCTGCTCACCAGCCTGTGGGTTGTGCTGAAGGAGCCTGCACTGCTGAGGGAGGGACAGTTGAGGTCAGTGTATCTGTCTCGGGGCTGGCCTGTAGCTTGCTCGTATGCTCCTGATCCACACAGACACAGCGAATTAAAGCGTGGACCTAGCTAAAGCACTGAGCTAAGAATCTCCTCTTGTAGCAGTTAGGGGAAGAGAGGTTGGGGCAGCCTGTTAGTGCAGGCTACGGAGATGGCAGTGAATTGGGTGTTGAGGATATGCTCAGATGCACACTTATCTGGCAGTGTGGCTGAAACCCCCAAGAGATCACTTGTACTTCAGCACGGAGCTATTATGGAGAAGCAGGTTCACATTAGAGCCTGGACTAATACTAGACCTCCATGGAAAAAAACAGAACAGAAAGTCTGTGCAAATTGTAAAACTGTGTTTTCATATTGCTTTGTAACATTTGCATCATGTTAAACAGCACAAAGGCTGGGGAAGAACAGGCAGAACATTGGCAACGGTTGTGGCCAAAATACTCAGTTTCATTGAAATCCAAATAACAGACAAAATATTGACCTGTTTGTGTGTGTACTTTCTTTTTCTTCAAAGAGAATTAAAAGAGGAAAGATTTCAAGAAATGAACATACTATTTTTTTTCCATCTAACATCCAGCTAGCCTGTCTGCAGCCTGGGCTCCATGGTGATCTGAGCATTTTAAAGTGATAAATGATTATTGAAAAGAACCTGTTAAGACCGCAGGCACTGCTGTCAACGTACAGACAACACAGTGAAGCCCAGGTCTTTGGTGGCTGCTCACGAGGGGCTGATTGAATCTCTGTCTCAGGACTGTGGTTTTCAGCATTTGGGACAGTTTGTTTTATAGTCAGGATTTCCAGAGCTGAAACATGAGCTGAGCAGCATATTCCCAATATCCCAAATTGCTGAAGCAGCTCTCAGAGGCTGAGATGCCATGACTTTTATAAAAATTCTTGTTTATATAAATTGTTTTTATATATCTGCCTATTTTCTGCAGGCCTAGCACCTGATCTCATGAGGAAGGCCGCTGTAAGCCCAGTTCCGAAAAGTGCCTTTAAGTCCCTTTATTGCTTAAATCCCTGCAGAGCTCTTAGGAGTGTGCTGACATGCTTGCCCATGCGGAAATACAAAGCTGAATCAGGCCCCCATCCTGCTCTTTGCAGAATTATATGCCAGGAGGGATGAATCAGAAACCGTTTTCCTGAAATTCTGCTCTTGCACTAGAGCTAAGAAAGGCCTCCCAAGTGATCCACATAAAGTGTGCTTTTCACCACAGTCGTCTAAGTGCAAGCTAGATTAATAGGTTTGGGGCAAGAATCGGTAGCAGGGCAAGGTAGGCGAAGCTGCTCATTGTAAATAAACCTCACGGTGCTGTTAACGAAGGGCGCTATAGAGACAAAATCCTAATTCAGTAATTTTCTGGTCCACAGTGAAGATAGATAAAGACTTGGCTCTGTGTTTTAGGGTCCTATTTGAACTGCTGTGGCGGGATTACTTCCGATTTGTGGCCCTGAAGTATGGCAGAAGGATTTTCTCACTGAGAGGTGTGTATGGATCACTCTGTTTGCAGGGGAAAGGGGCAATCATACAACAGGGAAAGGAAGAGAAGAGTCTGTGAGCATTGCGTTGTACAAACGCTCTTCTTCTAGCACTTGCATCACTACCTTAGGATGTTACCAGGGTTGGAGCAAGAGGGGAGTTTGCATTATGTTATCAAGTCCCCTTATGGTGAGTTTATTTGAATACTCACCAGTGTTGCCATTTTAATGATACTGGGCACTACCCAGTGGCAACAGCTGTTGTCCTTCATTTAGTGAACTTCTGATTAGCAGAGAAGTGCCTGAACACCGTGATGCTGGGTGATGTGTAGACACTGAGAGCGTTTCGCCCCCAAAACTGATTAGACAAAGGGAATGTTTTTAACACGTCAGTGGGAAATGGCAGCACGATAAGAATAAAGACGCTGTTTGCGGAGACACTCTGGAGCCTTTGGAGAGACTCAGGCTTCGGGACTTGCCAAAATTCACCAAAAAGTTTGGGCAGAGCACGAACTGACCCAGCAGTGTGAATCCCAAGACACTGGCTATCTTTTCTGCTTTGTGCTACATAGGAATCAGAGTGGGATTCAGCACGAGACCCAGTCACCTAAATGCTGGTATCTACAACCGAAATGGGAGTCTGAACTCCCAATAGAGCAATGGTTATCCAGCCCGTATATAGTCAGGAAGCCTTACAGCCGTGTTGAGTTAGCTGCTCTCCATGTGATTTAGCTGCTCACACCTAAGCATTTAGCATTCTTCCTGGCAGCCAGCTGTTGCTCCAGAGGGATACAAGTCTCTCTCAGGGCCTGTGTCACATCTGTCAGGCCCATGTGACTGTCTTAGATGCCATAGGGCATCTCACGGGGCCCTGGATGCCTAGAGTCAGCCTAAACTTAGGCCCT